GCTCAGAAAGAAGAGACGTGATCCACTGAATTTCACAAGAGACATGAGCAAGAGCTCGATATTCGGACTTGGTGCTAGATCTAGCTACAACATGCTGCTTTTTGGAAGACCAAGAGATCAAAGTAGAGCCAAGAAACACACAATACCCGCCAACTGACTTGCGATCAACTGAGCAAGCCGCCCAATCAGCGTCCGAAAAACCAGTGATGGTGATAGAAGATGCTGGCTGAAGTGCAAGACCGAGATGTAGAGAACCTTTAAGATAGCGAAGTATACGCTTAATGGACTGCCAATGGGAAACAGACAGTGCCTGAGAGAATTGACTTAGTTTGTTAACTGCAAAARCAATGTTTGGACGAGTGAGAAGAACATAGTGAAGAGAACCAAGGACACTCCTATATAGGGACGGATCAGAAAACACTTCATTGCYAGCAGCGTGMAAGGACGTAAATCTCGCAGCGGAAAGAGGGATCTTTATTCTTGAATTTTGAGGAACAAAACCCACAAATGAAAAGGAAAATGCAGGGGGATTGGGTATTACCTTTGATGAACAGTTGTTCAACAAACCCAACACCACGAAACGATCTTCCTTGCTATTTCTCTGGAGACGATAATGTGCTTGTGGGAGCAACGATCTTGGAAGCCAAAAAGAAAATTGAGAGAGCAGATGAGAGAATAAAATCCAGTGTAAAAAAACCAAATGACATGTGCAGGGGAGTGATAAATATTAATATTAATTATATTAATATTAATAATTAATAATATATATAATTAATTAATCATATTAATAAATTAATTAATTATTAATCTAATTAAYAATTAATTAATCAATCATATATTAATTAAATAAATAATTAACATTTAATTATTTAATCCCAAAATAGAATCATATTCTAAAGAAATTCTCTCACATAACCTATAGTTGTAATGTACATCTTATGCACATTATTTTTAACCTATAGTTTTAATATGAATCCTATTCATATTATCTTTTATTTGAATCTCATTTAAATAATCTCTCATAATATATAATTTCAATTTAGAATAACYATATATTATAATGTATCTATATACATATATTCTCTCGAGAAACTTGAACATTTCAAATTTATCCAAAAAYTTGATCCTCGTTTTACCCGTTGTGAGCTAGCAAGGGGATCTAATGGACCTATAGATTAGAAGTTCCAACGATATGAGATTAATCGGTCAAACTCATTAACCGAGTTAATCAACATTCGTTAACTACAGGTCACTCCACTAAAGACCCGCAGTTGCACTCTTCTCACTGCARAATATTTTCGTATCCATGGATATACGACCATTAATGGCAAGTCAATCATTCACGAGCGTTCGTAACCACATATGGGTCAAAATACCGTTTTACCCCTGTGTTACATCTTGCTCCTTAAGTATCATTGCTCCTCTAATGAACAACCCGGTTATAGTYCGACCAATAACCGGAAGTCCCTCTCGGGCAAGTGAGAGGGTGGGACCCCTTGTTCAAGTTCCAAAGTTAGCATTTAAGAGAACACTCATTTATTCCCCGAAAGTCGGAGATGTGTGAATTCCATCTCGTGAAGTTATGTTCCCAGCTCCCCACTCGGTCTCATCCCCAAAATGGTTGGAATATTGAGTCGGCAACTCGGGCCACTCTCACCCATACAGATCAAAGSACGAGCTTTCACGGGCATGAGTTTATAACTCACTCAAGATTGAGAATCAGTTGCCTGGTCATCCTATGAAATAGCAATCTGTTAGTCAATGATGTTACATCTAAAGATCGACTATTTCGTGGTTCGGTCTTATACAAACTCATTGTATAGGATACTTCCACTYGTATGTCTCTACATGAACRACCTGAATCGGATCGTCTGTAACATTTATAAAGTGGGTCGTATCCACAGTGTTGCCATGATAAGGTACCCAACCTTATCCATATACTATAGACCCCTTTAGGTTATTCCGGGGATCTTATCCACTTGTATATCGAGAGTATATCAAATATATACCCAGTATATGTACTGTCTTGTTTACATGACAATAACCTTGGATGTTTAGTTTATTGGATTAGATAATTGCAATGAATTCAACAAAAAATTTATTGAATATAAATTTGTTTTTACATAAATACAAACTACGAGTTTAGGGCAACACACCCAACACTAGGGGTGCACAACCAAACCGACTAAATCGAAAAAAATTAAAAAACAGAACCGAAACCAATCCGAATTTTAAATTTTGCGGTTTTATAGATCGGTTCGGTTAAATGAAATGGTCAAATCGCAAATTCGGTTTGGATTCGGTTTTAGAGGTTGAAAATCACTAAAAAACCAAACTAAACTGAATATATATATATATATATATATATATTTTATAATAAAAAGAAGAAGCATGCCCTACAGTTGTAGCCTCCCTTGACATGCCAGCCGTCCATGTCGCCCTATTGTCTGATATATTTATTGTGGTGGCAGTGGGTAATCACATCACAAATCAATTATTTCCTCTTCAATCCTTCAAAAATAGAACCATACCTTTCTTAACTTTTAACTTTTTTAATCTTCTCATTTAGTTAAGTTAGCTACTTTATTTCCTTCTTTCTTTGGTTAATTCTTTCTTTTATTAAGTTATGGTTTCTTTCTAACTTTTTCGTTCTTTCTTTTTCTTCTTCCTTCTTTCTTAGATTCAACTTCTCCTTCTTCCTTCTTCATTTCCTTCTTAAACGTTTGATTATTTTCTTCACACTTCTCTTTCTTTCTTACACTTAATGTCTCCTTCTCCATTCTTCATCTTTTTTTTTTCCTTAAAAAACTTTCGATTATTTCCTTCACACTTCTCTCTCATCCTTGTCACTGTTGTCGCCACCACTACATTCGACTTCTTTGTTGTCAGCCAGCACCTTCGATCCTCCGCCGTCGTCGTATCGGCGTTGCCAGTCACCTCCTCTGTCTCTGTCGCTGACAATCTCGATTTTGTTGCAAGGCCCACAAAAAGCATGCCTAACCAGCGCAAAAATCACAGAAACCCAACCGAACCGAATATTCGGCTCGGTTCGTATGAGACATGCGGTTCGGTGCAGTTTGAAATTTTTTTTTTGAATATTCGATTTCGGTTTCGGTTCAGTCTTAAAACCGAACCGTGATCRCCCCTACCCAACACGACGGTCATGGAAGAGGTCGCGGTAACAGGTGTAGGAGCCTCCTTCAGATTTTGCATCTGAAGGCGTTTCAATATATCTTGTATGTATGTGGCTTGAGATAAGAGAAAACCTGTAGAAGATCGTTCCACTTGAATACCCAGAAAGTAATGGATGTGACCACGATCGTGGAGAACAAATTTCTGATGGAGATGATCTAGTTGACCATCGATCATGGTAGTGTTGGAACCTATTACCAGAATGTCATCAACATATATAAGAAGAATGACAATGTCAGTGGCATTATGGTAAAWGAACAGTGAAGGATCGGTCTTGGCTTGGGAGAAGCCTCATTGGGAAAGAGTAGTGCGAAGTTTCTCATACCATTCATGTGGGGCTTGTTTAAGGTTTTATATAGCCTTTTTCAACTGACATACATAAAGAGGACGAGTAGGGTCAACATAGCCTTATACTTTGAACTGTTTGAAAGTAATAATAGCATTTCCTCTACTTTTCAATGGAAAAATCCAAGTAAATCTAGATAAATCATCAAGGAAGCTAATATAATATAGGTAACCATTTGAAGAAGTGAGAGGGGTCGGTCCCCATAAATCTGTGTGAGCCAATTCTAAAGGATGTAATGCTCGAGTTTGGAAAAGAGGGAAGGGTAATTAATGAGATTTTCCATACTGACAAGCCTCACAAAAGGATAGTTTCTCATTTATTCTGCTTTTCAAATTACATGTAGTCAAGATTTGATTTAAGATTCTAGAGGATGGATGTCCAAAACTACTATGCCAAACATCCTTAGAACCATACAAACCATGATGACTGTCACGAGAGGTAACTAACATAGTATCATCCTGACATTTCCTTGTCATCCTRGAAACAAAAGCAACAAAAACAAATCTTTCATGAGAAGATGAGGCGGATAGAGGTGAAATTTGGTACAAGCCATCCTTAAGCGTTCCTTCTAAAAGAACCTTCCCCGTGACCTTGTCCTTAACAACACAAAAAGAATCATGAAACTCGACTATAACAGAATTATCCATAGTCAGATGAGAAATGCTTATCAGGTTCTTTCTAATATGAGGAACCTGCAGTAATCCTTTCAATATTAAATTTCTAACATTGGTTCAAAAGACAGAACTACCAATGTAATGTATAGGAAGCTGAGAACCATTGMCAACAATAATTTTTTTCATACTTGTGTAGTCATTCTTGAGAGACAGATTTTCAAGTTATGAGGTCAGATAGTTGCTTGCCCCACTGTCAAAGTACCAAGCATTGTCGTGTACACTTTCTGRAGTAGCAATGAGAGCTGATGGATTCCCTGATGAAGATTTAAAGTGAGAGCTGGACCCTCCCTTGTTGAAGCTTTGAATGTTGTTGAAACTCTTCTCAAAGTGATAGTATAGACACCGTATTTGATCCGGCTTTTATTTTATTTTATTTTATTTTATCATTATCATTATTCTTTATTGTTTTAAAGAAGGTTGATTTTAGTTTTTATCTATTTATTATTATTATTTTTTAAATTATTGTTTTAAAAGAAAATAAAGGAAATAACTAAAGTATTATATAAAAATAAATTGATTTTGTTTTTAGAGAAAAATAAGCTTTTCTTTTAATTGGRAGTTTATTTATTTTTTTATATTTTATTTTCAAGTTAATTTTATTTCTTTTTCAAGTGGTTGATTAGTTAAAAGTTTGAAATTTTGAAAATTTCTTAGTCAAGTGTTACATAGGTRGTTTAATTCTCCTCSTTTTTATCTCTAATTTAGTTTTAGACCTCCTAAAAATACATTTTCTTTACCTATATAAAGGAGGTGCTTAGTTCTTCTTCATCAAGCTCCATAGGCTCAAAACCCATTGTTTTTTTCCATACTTTTAAGTATGGGAAAGCTTCTTCCATCGTGTCTCTTTCTTTTGTTCTTTTTTTTATTACTTTTTTTAGTCCATCAATCTCCATTTGGGTTTTCATTTTTTATCAAACCATTAAAAGAAAAGTTCTGTTTCCTATCATTTTGGTTGGGAAACTTATTTCATATGAGTCTTGAATTTTGATCATAGCATTAGTAGGAGAACTTTCCATTTCCATAACCAAATAATAATAAAAAAAAACAATCGTGAAGGGCCAAAGGGAAAGAAAATTCATCTCCCACAACCTTACCACCATCATTTGTCTTCCCCTCTCTATCTTACCTTCTCATGAGCCCTGGCGGTGGTAGGACTAGACRACGAACCCCAACAATGACAAGACTCCACGGTTCATTTTCTGAGCAACCCTACGCAAACTCTGGTGACCTTCATCATTCCGGCGATTGGTGAGTAAAGATAGGTTACGTTTTGAAGTTTTTTTTTTTTTTTTAAGAAAAGAAAAGAAAATTTCTTTTAATAAAGAAAAAATGAATTTCTTTTCTAAAGTAAAAGAAACCAAGTTTTTTATTTGTTTTAAAAGAGGAAACCTTTTAACAAGGTTTAAATAAATTTTTGGAAAAGAAAGTAAATGATTCTGCAAATAAAATTTGTTTAGGAAAAATAAAAGAGTTTTTATTTTTTTATTTTTTTATTTTTTAAGTGAAGGTAAATAAAAGTTGAGTTTTAAAAGAGATGAATTTGTTTTAAAATAAAGTTCTAGAAAATAAAAAAAATAAAAAGAGTAAAAGATCTTTTTAAAATAAAATTTGGTTTTAAAATAAAAATAGATTTTAAATTGCAAAGTAAGTAAAAAAGGGTTGGTTTTTAAAATAAAAATTTTGCTTAGATAAAGCTTTTAAAATAAAGTTTGAGTATAAAAGAATGTGTCTTTAAAAAAGAAAACTAGGTTTAACTATTTGRTGTTGGCATGGTGGTAAGAGAATGATTGTTGCCATTCATGGCCTAAGTTTAAGTCTTAGTGTGGCTTTAAAATAATATTTTTATTTATCATTGTTTTTCAACTAAATAATTATTTCRAAAATTCCAATGACAGAAATTGGAACCTTCCAATATTAAAGATGTGATAAAATTTTTCTAATGGCTTTCATGCCACTCATACCTATTAATTCATATCTTATAGCAAAGTGTGAATTAATATAACGTGGGATATTTCAATCAAAATACAAAATAATTTTCTTTTAGACCAAATAATATAATAGGATAATTTATGATAAAATGTGGTACCGTTTTCGAACGGGTGTCGTAGGGTGCTATCTTCCCTACGCTCAGTCGACTCCCAAACCAAAAATTATGTTTTCGTAGACCAAGTTTTTTAATTAGGTGACCAATCACACCTCGTAGATGATTGGTGGCGACTTCAAACCCTTATCTCGAAAGAGACCCTTCAAGGGATGRCATCGGGCGCTCTACGTCGCGATGATGTTGCGACAACTTGACGACTCCACTGGGGACCTTTAGAGAGTCAAGYCATTATTGTTGTCATTTGTTGTCCTATTATATTGCTTTTTTGTCCGCTTTATTTTTTTAGTTGTATTATTTTAATTATTATATTGTAATGATTAATTTTATTTTGCATCATCATGCATTTCACACACATCCACAAGCCTCCTACCCGTGCTTAGGATTAGATCGGGGACTGAGTAGTGTGACATTCGTGGAATTTTGATTTCCGTGCAGGCGCATGAAATTCTCCACTCAAGTCGACTATATTGCTAAAGCATGTGGAAGATTTGAGAGCCATTATCCTATAAGATGCATTAGTACATAACTTCACACCATATTCATATTGCATTTTATGTGGAGTTATATCATTCATGGCATATTGTTTTTTAAATAAAAAAAATATGGTTGATTTGGAGTTTTAATCCTAAGGTTTTAAAATTAACCACTCTTAAAAATATAAAAAGGGAAAAGAATAAAAGATCATTTACCTTACTTCTTCCTAGCTATTTTTTTAAGTTTTGGGTAGAAGTTTTGCTTTTCAAAGGGGTTATAAATGTCCTTATGTAGGCACGCAAAAACTTTCAAATTTATTCACTTCTATAAAAAACTTAGGAGTTCGACTTTATAACTCTAGAGTTTAATTTTATGTACATATTCATGTTTCTCTCTCTAGATTAGAGTCTACCATTACATTTGCATGAATTTACTAATGATTGCATGAAGTATTTGTCATATTCTTGGGGCAATTTGTAGCATATTTAGATAAACTTTTTTCCTCCTCAAAGAAAAAAAAAACATTCTTCTCATGCATCATTCTGCATGTCCATAACTTAAATTAAAAAAACAATATCTATCTTTTGTGTACATCATTTTACATGTCCATAACATAAATTAAAAACCTATATCTCGCATGCATCATTCWGCATGTCCATAGCATAAATTAAAAAATATTTTATGCATGCATCATTTCACATGTTCATAATCATTTAAAAAATTTCTCCCTAATTTATATCCAAMATTTGCATAACATCATCTCATGCATATCAATTTCTATTTAAAAAAAAATCAAAATTCTGTGCATTCTCCATTTCATCATAATTAACACAACTCTTAGAAAAAATAGCTTAAGAATCACATATTTACTATTCTTTATATACAAGGTACATAAAGCAGTATAACATGGAAGAATTTAACGCTGAGCTAAAGAAAATTAGAGACGAAATCCATGAACGAGTCATTGAAGAATTGAATRCTGAGCTAAAGGAAATAAGAGACGAGATTCAAGAACATGTCAYAGAGGTGCATAATGTAGAGCTAAAGAAGATGAGACAAGACATCGATAAGATTCAGGGGCAAGTCACAGGRATTTTAAATGTTTTAAAGAAGATTGTTACAGTTGGGGACATTTCTCAACCTAACAATTTAGTCGAACCTCATAATAATTCATCACTTAGGGTGGGCCCATCTCTTTTTAGGAAAAGAAAGTGCACGGAGATGGAGAGAGGCAAACGAACAAATGTCAGTGCCTTTAATTGATAAAGATCCAAAGAATAAAAGCTCTATTAAAAGGAAAAATAAAGTCCAGGCAGTAATCTCGAAGCGCAAGTGGAGGCACCAACAAGGATCTACGGTATATAATCCCGTATACGATACCCATGAACTCGTTGGCTCTGCAGAATGACCCACATCCAAAATTTCCAGCATTACCTGACAATCATAATAGTCGGAGGCAACTAAAGTAAAATAGCTTTCATCCAATCCCAATATCCTATACCAAGCTATTATCACAATTATTTCAAAGTCATCTATTAGCTCCGGTACCCGTAGAACCATTGCAGCCACCTTATCCAAAGTGGTACGACCCGCAAGTCAACTGTGGTTACCATGCAGGAGATGTAGGTCATTCAACTGAGAACTGTACTTCACTGAACCATAAAGTGCAAGTTCTATTGAAGGCAGGGTGGCTTAAGTTTTCAAAGGAAGATGATCCACAGATRAAGCACTAGAATCATGAATGTACAAGGTTGACCTATTGCTTTGCATTATTAATAAAGTTTATTTCTTCTTTGAAGTCATTTTTGAGATTGCTAGGTTTGAAAGATAGCAAACGACTCATAGCCTGCTAATGTTAAAACGACAATGAAGCTTTAGTCATCCATGATTTAACTAAGTACTTGTTTAAAAACAATGTGAGTATGTGGAAATTGAGCTATTTTTCTAAAACGAAAARGTCAAAGTCATACACATTATTGCATATCTCATTTGTTAAAAAATAATAATAAWAAAAAAAGTGTTTTATTTAAAAAATCATCTTGATAAAAAAGAACTTATATGTTTTGAGGTATTCAATAATAATTTTAATAAGGTTTACTCTTATCACTCTTGTTAGTTAAGACCTTAGCAAGAATCATAAAGCAACTATAGTAAGTCACTTAGAGGAAACAAAAAAAAAAGGTGAAAAAGTTGTGAAAAAATGAAAATGAAAAAAATGGAAAAGGTGAAAAAAAAGGAAACAATGTAAAAAAAAAAAAAGTGAAAAGAATGAATGTCTTCAGTGCTCTCAATGAGATATAATCTTTTTCAAAACTCAACCATTTTTCCGAGCTTTGTTGTCGGGCTAAATCCGTAACTCAAACCACTTTTATCTTGGCCTTTCTATTGCTTCTCATGTGCTAACCAGCAGACCACAAAGTTTCATACTGGGGCAAGAATGTCTTTTGARGTGAAAATCCAAAACAGCACTGAAACCTTGAGCTTARCCTGCTTTAAGCCTAATCTACCTTGAGCCAGCCTACCGATATATGGTCAATATAGTCAACATTGAGAGTTGGACCATTTACTGCAAAAAAATCTTTTGCTCAGCCCGTCACATACAATTTTTATGATGAATATCAATATTTACCTACTTACCATAAATGCCTTTTACCAAGCYTGCCACATCTAATTGCGTGGTAAATGCCCAAAATTATCCACTTAGTATTACGCTGAGAATTTTAAAGGTAATAAAATAACATTGGACTCTTATAATTGACTGCTTCATGAATTCGTACTTGTAGTTGCTCAAAATTTCCCTACTCTGACTTCTTTCTTTCAGTTTCTATTATTCTCCTATCTCAATCCTTTGTCTCTTCTCTTCTTTTGAGTAAAAGTGATTTCAAGATTGAGGATAGTAGTTTTGAGAATTGGGAAGTTAGCGACCTGACAAATAGTCTCAAGRTATTAGTCTCCTTTGATGAGTTTTGCTTGGGATCAGTTTCATCATGATACTGAAGCAGTATCGGCAAAGAAAAATTTGGAACAACGGTCAAGGTGGCAAAAGGTGACTCACGCATGATCAACGTTTTATATGTGATTGCACCCCATTTTGTTTATAAAAAAAGGTTGTGTTTGGCCAAAAAAAAAAAGGTCACAAAAATCCTTTAGTTCAATGATTGGGGCAATCAACGTAGATTAATGACATTAGTTTCAAAGGTTTCAAGGTCCTTTTTACAAATCTCCAAACTGGGGCAAAATCGAGAAATGCTACGTTGGGGCAAAATAGTAATTGCATTGTACAAAGCTTTGAGACAAAGGCCATCTTCAAACTGAGATTGTTACATTGCACAAAATCTTTCAATTTTGAGAAGTCTTCAACATTCACGAAGTGTACTCTACAACATCCATAAAGAGCTACACTTTGAGAAAAGAGAGGTCATTTGCATTCAAAAGTGGACGACATCAAYTGCACATTGAAGCTAAGGCTAAAAAGATGGTCTTTACATTCCAAGTGGACCACACCAACATTTCCATGGATAATAAAATGCGGCTAGAAAGATGATTTCATCAAATACTCAAAGAAGGGGCGAGGTCGATGAGATGAACTCTTGGGGAGTTACGCAACCAATTCTCAATGTTATTTGTCGAAAGAAATTGGATCACTGCTACTCTTATATTCATTTGATTATAATCTTTTACCCAAAGCTTGAAAAAAAATCAATCTCTTATTCTTTMAGAGATTTGACAAAATATCCATGTATTCTTGRTTTCATTTTCTTTAAAAAGGAAGCCTACTGACATTTATTCATCGTCAAGCTTTATTACAAAATCATGATTTCTATCCTCCATTGCTCCTAATGTTAAATCAATTTTCTTGTAACCGATCTTCTTGTCAATTACAAGGCTGGATTTATAAAGCAGTTTAATCAAGCAAGATGTACAATGTTATGAATKGCTTTWGATAATTCTCTAAACTGGCACATGTTGGGTGTGTTGCCCTAAACTCGTAGTTTGTATTATGTAAAACCAAATGTATATTCAATAAAGTTTTATTCAATAAATTTGTAGTTGAAATATAGCATTGCATTGCCCAAATCCAATAAACTAAACATCCAAGGTTATTTTGATGTAATCGGGACAGTATATATACTGGGTATATAGTTGATATACGGGATATATATTTGATATACCCCTGATATATGAATGGATAATGTCCCGTGAATAACCTAAAGGGTCTATAGTATATGGATAAGGTTGGGTACCTTATCTTGGCAACACTATGGATACAACCCAGTCTGTAAAGGTTACAGACGACTCGATCTAGGTCGTTTGTGTGGAGACATGCGAGTGAGGGTATCCTATACAATGAGTTTGTATAAGACCGGACCACGAAATAGGCAATCTTTAGATGTAACACCGTTAACTAATAGGTTGTTATTTCTTAGGATGACTAGACAACTCATTCTCAATCCTGAATGAGTTATGGACTCATGCCCGTGAGGGCTCGTCCTTTGATCTGTATGGGTGAGAGTGGCCCGAGTTGCCGACTCAATATTCCTACCATTTTGGGGACGAGACCGAGTGGGGAGCTGGGAACAT